AATTTGGACTCTCCTAAGTCCATTTGGCCAAAGTGTTCTGGGCTACTTCTGTGTGTGACCTTGCCAATTTCGCACTTGTTTGAACTTCTTTAGTATTTAATTTTACCTAAAAGCTGTCAATTCTGCTATTTGAATATGCTTCATCTGAATAAATTGGACCTTCTTTAGTTAATTAGTCTACTGGTCAATATCTGAATGCCTACGTTTGCTGTTTGACATGGTTTACTTTCCTACTCTATTATGAATCTCCATAATGATAGTCTGGCATATGTAATGTATTCTAATATGTGACAACAACCTTTCTATCAACTATGATCTGCTTCCCTGATAGTGTGGCTCACAGCATATCCCTGTTTTACTTAGTCCTATATCCTTAGTAACTGTTTGAAACCTTTAGAATAGGCACCTTAGTTTGTGTTTCCATACCATATTTGACACTTTTCTGCTTCATGATACAAGTTAACATGGCTGTCTTGTAAAACTTGTTTGATATTATGCACCTACGTATGATAATCTTTGCAAACTTGTTTCTCCCTTTATTCTTTCAATATGTGACTGCCTATATGTTATTTGCTAAGTGTTGAACATGCTTCTAAGTCTTGCTTGAACCTGCTTCAAAGTCTTGTGACTTGTTTGCTTAGTTGCTCTGTGTTCTCAACTTTGCTATGTCTACTTTAAGCTATGAGTGTATTTCCTCAACTGCCGTCCCTTAGCCATTATCCACTCTCTCTCATTTTTCACCTATGCTATTCTGAACCTATTATTCTTGGCCGGCTGAAAGCCAAGGGCACCAAGGCTCTTACTACTGACCTCCCTAGTGTGAGCATTGCTGGGGGTCCATTTGAGACCCTTGTGAACTCTGACACACTGGGATTTGGGGTCCTTTATTCATTCTCTCTACTACTGAGACCTGCACTATTCATGACACTCAATTCTTTCTTCCTATGGTCTATTGAATATGTAAATTGGTTGGTCAATCTACGGTTGTGTGATCTAGCTTAAGTTCTTCTCTGGATTCTGGTTTGTGCTGATGAATATGGTTCCTGGGTATGCTGCGTGAGAGTTATTGAAGGCCCAGGCAATGCTGGGTGTTTTCTTTTGGGCCTGCTATGGGCCTACCGTCATTATTTGTACAATACTTTCAATTATATTTGTTATTGGGCATGTAATAATTTATAATGAACAACTGGGTGTTAGTAAAAATGGGGAATGGGTAGATTCTTAATGTTTTCATGAAAAGGGGTAGATAATATGTAGGACTCATTGATTCACTTGCTATATGTGCCGTTCGATCTATATGTGCACTATAAAAATCATGTCATTAGGGGAAGCACACACGTATACACTGCTTGTTAGCAAACATGAATTCAAATGCTGCAATTATTCTTATTGCTATATGTTGCTAGAAAACCTGCCCATAGGAACAAATGTCAATGAACTATCTTTCAATTCGCCTCAGCATATTCACTAGCAATCATGCCTATAGGATTCTGATCACTTCATTTGATATTGTCTTGCACCGTTCACTAGAAATCATGCCTATATGACTAAGTATAACAATAAAATAGGTCCCAAGTATTAATTGTTAGAGATCCTGTCTATAGGATACTATCATCCGCCTTAGTAATTGTTAATACTACACCTCCCAACTTTGTTTATTATTTCACTTAGGCCACTGTCAGAAAGTGTGAGTAATTATGAGTTTCTCCTAATAGATTTCACAATTACCTGGGGTGTAAATCACTTAAACGCAACGTCTGTAGGATAAAATACTGGAAATCTGCAATCAGCATGCAAATCGTATAATCATTTAGAGATAAACAGTGCCTGGCCTTTGAAAATGCTTGTACACTTTGATGCTTTGTCACCTAGAAATCATTTCTATAGGGTTTAAGGTTCTTTATTCTGAAACCTCTTAACTTGAATACTTGTCTTGTGTGCATTTGGTGCCTAAGTATGGAGGCAAACTTGAGCCTTAACTGCCTATATGTGAAGTCCAATGTGCTTTTGTATGTCGCCTAGTTTTGATATTTTCTGAGCAGCCTAAGTTAAGTCTAGAACCACCAAAAGTAGAGGTCCAATTCCTCCTGGACCATAGGCATGAGATGGGTAGTGAACACATAAGGTACGATTTATAATTGAACTAGTGCGCTTCAGGTAACAACTTGAAGATAGTAATCGGGTAGTAGGAGATGATAGTCTGTGCCCGCTGGTAATATGAGTAATACCATATTCAGAGGGAGTTACGAAGTATTATTTATGTTGCACGGGGTGATCCTTTAGGCTAAAAAACTTAAGACCCCCATCCTATTTCTATTTATCTGTGAGTCAAGTGTTTGTATTTATTTAAAGTCTTTTAATAATGAATTTTCCCAAACTCCTTGCTTTCTTTATCTTTGTCTGTCTGACTAATTCATATAACTCGAGTTCGGCTGGGACCCACATTTGTGGACCTCGAAGAGTGCCTAACACCTTCTCTTCGAGGTAATTTGAGCCCTTACCCGATCTTTTGTGACGCAAACTGGTTAAACCAGAGTTATTTGCAAATAGGTGCCCTAACGCACCTCAAACCCGTTAGGTGGCGACTCTCTCTTTTAATACCTTCCTTAAAAGAGTTGTCAGGTGTTGAAATTTGATTTTGCGAGAAAAAGGGGTGCGACACCAGGGAGTTTCTTTTACCCTCTTATTAGTTATGGTGTACATTGGGGACAATGCACAATTTTAAGTGTGGGGTGGGGAGATTGTCTAGGTGACTTTCTATTCTATTTTAGTTGTGTTAGTTTAATTGATTAATTTTTTTTCTTGAGGGATTTAAGTAAAAAAAAAAAGAAGATTTTCTTTGTAGGTAGTGTAGTAATTCCCCCTTGGTTTTTTTCTTTGTGTCGTGGTTCTTTTTCAAGGATTTTGTTTGAACCGGGTCTAGTTAGTTTTATTTTTAGGATTAAGAGCCGGTGTGAGATAAATTGAATTGAAGCAATATCTCTTGATATTGTTATGCCTTGAGAATAGTGAGTACTTTAGTTGTGACGCTTAGGCTCAGTTTTTGACTCTTGTATAAGTAACTTAAATCGTATAACTTTAAATTTGCTTAACTGCTTTGACTAGAGTGTCTTGATTAATCCAATCCTGAGTGAGTTATGTGCCATGTGTGTGTAAGGTTTTGTGTTATTCTGTGCATTGCATTTGATGTCTAGGACTAGCCCCGTGTGTTTGCAAAGCGAAATAGTAGTTTTGTTCAGTCTTGGAAGTGATATAGATGTTTCTTTGTTGAGCCATATATATATATATATATATATATATATATATATATACACCTTTGAGCCTGTAATCCTGTTTCTTTGGCAACCACATTACAAGCCTTACCTATTTGTTTGAATTAACCATCTATATGAACCTTTTAACCTCTCACGAGCACTTGAATTGTTATGAACTTTATAAAAGTTAAAGTATGGGTTGGTTGGTTTGGCTTTTGAGTGGAACTAATGAAATAAGGAGAAATGTGCGCTGTTTTAAAAAAGTAAGAGCTACTTGAATTGAAAAAGAAAGAAAAGTAAAAAATAGTTGTATTGCTATGAAAAAAATAATTTGATAAGTGGTGACTCTTGATGTAATTGTGCTTAAAGAAGTATGGAGTTAATATATATTGATGTGAAGGTGGAGTTATGATATGACATAAGTGTGTGGTTTTAAATGTTAAAGTGTATGTATTAAAGTGCTTAGGGAGGTGTAGTCACTCTTATATCTAAATGTATCCTACCCGGCCTGAAGCCTACATTACAACCAATTAAAGTCCTACTTGATCCTAGACTGAATGAGCTCGATTAGTAGAGTAGTAAGCCTATCGTGCATCTTTTGTGGCATATGATGTTCTTTCTAAGAGTGAGTGAATACTTTCTATCTTGAGTTCCTAAGTGTTCTTAAATTTAATTGTGTGTAACTACTCTCTTTTTTTGTGTGAGGGCACTTGATTCATGAAAGAAAGGTAATCCTTGACCTCTTTGTTAAGAGTAAGTGGGTGAGTTGTGAATAATGCGTGATACTTGTGAGTCAAATCTTGAGGTGAAGATGTTACGCTTTTGTGCTTAGTCTATTTTAAATATTCTTGGTGTGATGAGTTAGGAGAATTGTTTAAAAAGTTCGTGTCTATATAAAGTGTAGTTTGATTGCTCGAGGACGAGCAATGATTTAAGTGTAGGGTGTTGATGATAGGCTATAATTACGTATTTTAGTCGCTTATTACATTCTAATTTACTGCACTTTAATTGAAATCTAACTCTAGACCTCCTTAATCTTGTCTCCAATCCTTATCCTTGTTAATTGATAGTTTTACTGCTTTCTAGTATTTGTTAGTTAATTAGATAAAAATAAATATTATAATCTTTATAATTAGAAAACTGTTTGGACTTGTGTTTCTTAGCGATATTGAACAACTGTAGCTAAGCCTTAGTTCTCTGTGGGATTTGGCTCCGGACTTGTAAATCGGATTATATTTACAACGATCGCTTAGTCCTTCTTATAAGGCATAGTTGGGCGTGATCAAATTTTGTCTATATGTCTATGGAATTAAGATTAACAAGAATGCATTTACAATTCCTGTATTTCAACCAAGCAAGGCAATTAGATATATGTCTATCCTAATTGCGAATCCGCAAGTCAAGAATTTGACTTTGCTTTTTATATAGAAAATTTGAAAGATCTTGGTATGTAGTTGGTGTTCCGTCAAATTTTATCCATATTTGCTGATACCAATTTGGTAAATTTCATAAGTATATTAGAGTATTTACCTAATTGTACTAAAATTTTTAGATTTCATTGATGTGGCATCAAATTGATTACATTTTCTACTATAATTTTCACAATAATAAAAAAATTAACCAAATTGCATATTTAGGTAGAGATTCAATTACCATAATGATAAAATCCTTGATGTATATAACGCGATAGTGCGCTTCTTCTAAATACATTCTCATAAAGGCTTTCATTAGTAGTATTTTTTTTGGGTCAATTCTTCTAATAAATTTAGTCATGGTTTGTAAGAAGACTAAAGGGCGTCAAAAGATTCAAATGAAAAAAATAGAAAAAAAAGATGACCTCTTTGCCACATTCTCAAAGCGTCGTGCAGGGTTATACAAAAAGTCGAGCGAACTTATTGCAGAATGCGGTGTTGACGTTGGAATAGTGGCTTCTTCTCCTACCGGTAAGCCTTTCTCATTTTTTCACCCTACGAATGATGCTATTATTGCTCGTTTTCAGAATCCTGATATGCAGTTAAGTCAAACTACTGGCCTAGTTGCGGCTCATGCTCGAAACAAAGTGAACTCTCTCAATAGTAGGCTTGAAGAATTGGATACCAGAGAAGAAGCTGCAATTGCTCAAGCACGTTTCTATGACAAAATGATAGAAACTAGAGAGAGTGGTTGGTGGGAGTCAATTGAGCAACTCAATGCAGATGAAGTGACAAAATTTGAAGCATGGTTAAAGTCTGTTATTTTTAATATGAACAATCGTTTGAATCAATTGGAATTTGGAGTTTCATCCTCAACACCAAATTACTTTTAGAGATGCCGATAATGCACCTAGTACTGGAAATTCAAATTCATGTTATCCATATGTGGATTTTTTGTTCTTTTTATTTTATTTCAACAATGCTACCAGCATGTATTGTGCTACGATTTTCATTAATAATATCCGATATAGTTTTTAAATGCTTTATCTTATATGTGTATTAGCTTAGAAGGTCTCTTAATAATAAATTTAACATCTTTGAAGCATTGATGAAAAAATTATATAGTTCAAATTCAGTGTTTGTTGAACTTTTGTTCTTTATTTTATTTCAACAATGTTATAACCCTCTACTCTGCTCTGATTTCCAGTAATTAACATTTGATATAGTTGTGCTAATGTTTTAACTTTGATACAATGTTTGGTTCCCTTTGGACCGTTCCACCTAATCTTTACATTTTTTTTTTAATTTTATTTTTTTATAATTTTTTTTTGTTGAAAGTGCCTATTTTTTTTTTCTTATGAGAACTTTGAATTTCTTCTTACTGTATTTATGCATGATTCTATTGAATTTTTACAATGATTGGATTGGCCTACCAATAAAGTCTGAAAGCGTCATTTTCTATGATTTTGATATTTATATAATCTTTTCTTTTAGCGAAAACATGTGGGGAAAAAAATCCTTTGCTTAGAAATGAGTACCTCTGCTCTAATATTTAAAAGATTTTGCTGAAAAAATTGTAAAAAGACCCCTTGCTTTTCTACAAAGAAAAACGAATAATAATTATCGCTACACTTTAGAAAACTTTTTGAAATAAAAAGCCTCAAACAAATAACTCTGCACATTTATGCAAAGTTCAACGTTTTTTAAAAAAAGATTCACGGTCAAATACTTCATAGAATTTGAAGAACAAGAAGAAGTTAAACACAGTTGATCTAGACGTGAATGTCATACCACCTAGGGTTAGCGGTGGGATGAACATGATCCCTCTACCCTTAATCAGAAATCTCGGATATTAATCAAGCAATAAAAATAAAAATAAAAAAAATAATAAGAAGCGCTACTCTCTTTAATGGATCTTACGCGACGCGAATCCCAATTAGTTGGATCTTAACACGAGTACCAAATACCTGATGAGAACCAAGAAAAAATCCTTAATACTGCCCTTATAAATGTTCAATTTTTAGCTGGTCAAGGTTTGACCTGCCCACCCGCCCCATAGCGCCCCGCCTTGCCTCGCCCCCGCCCCCCCTATTTATATTCCTATACACTTGCCCCATGGGTAAAATTTCAAGGTCAAAACATAAAACTGTTGCTCATGGGGCAAGGAACGATAAAAATTCAAGACCGTCCACTTTGAGAGCTATTGGTGTACTTCACCCCTACGCATGAGATATTAGCTAGTCGGGTGTCACCATCCAAAACTACCATGTCGTGATGGCGCCTATCGTGGAACTAGGCAAGCCGACTCTTTACCAAAAAAAATACAATTTTTCATTTGCAAGATAATTTCAAGCTAATTAATAATAAAACTTCATAAGGAAAATCTGAATAATGAAAGTGCAGAAAGAAAAGCCCGACATCGGGGTGTCACTGGTCATGAGCATCTACTAAACATTGTCCGAGATACTGAGACTAACATAGTCTGGAAATGCAACTACAAAATAAACTATAGGAAGATAGGAGGGAGAAGAACAAAGCTGCGATCGCCAGCAACTACCTTGCCAACTCTGAGAAAAGTCTATACCTGGACTAGTCAACAGCCGCTACCGGGTCCTGATGTGCCTGGATCTGCACACAAGGTGCAGGGAGTAACGTGAGTACGCCAACTCAGTAAGTAACCAAAGTAAATAAAGGCTGAGAAGTAGTGACGAGCAATAAAACATATAAGTTCATATCATGAAATCTCAGTAAAAGTACAACAGTCTTTTAAAAGCAGAGTTCGAATTAAATTATTTTTAAACTCAGTTTCAGTAAAATCATTTGAAGATATTTTCAACAGTTCTCAACAGAGGCTCAGTACAACAGTGAGCAAAAATAATAATCATAAACAGCCCCTCGGGCAAAACATCACTCATGAACAGCCCCTCGGACAAACCTATCGGTCACTCGTATACAGCCTCTCGGGCATATCTCATATCACTCACACTCAGGGTACCCGTGCTCACTGAGGGTGTGTAGACTCCGGAGGGGCTCCTTCAGCCCAAGCGCTATAACAAGCCACCTCGTGGCATAAATCAATCAGGCCCTTGGCCTCACTCAATCATGAATCAGTAACAACATGCTGCGGCGTGCAGCTCGATCCCATAAATATCCTCACAAATCAGGCCTTCGGCCTCACTCAGTCATAAACCTCTCAAGCCACTCGAGCTCTCAGTAAAAAACAGGGTACTCAGCCCAAAATAACATTTTAGATGTATCAAAACAGAGTAATAAAGACTGAGTTATAAAATTCAATAAGTGTAACTAGACTGAGTAAAGATTTTTAACCAAAACAGTGAGAGGATAGTAAGAAAAGGCCCCTAAGGGTCCAAACAGCTCTGGCACAAGGCCCAAATATGGCATTCAGCTCGATTTATAGAAACTTTTTCTAAAACGCATAAATATCATATAGTTCAAACCAAATGCACAACTTATAGTTGCTACGAGACGGACCAAGTCACAATCCCCAACGGTGCACGCCCACATGCCCGTCACCTAGCATGTGTGTCACCTCAAAATAGTAGAACGATACGAAATCCGGGGTTTCATACCCTCAGGAATAGATAACAATCGTTACTTACCTCAAACCAGTAAAATCCCTACTCCGCGATGCTCTTGTCCATCGACTCGGCCTCCAATCACTCCGAATATATTCACAACCAGAACAATACCATCAATATACGCTAATGGAATGAATTCGACAAGAAAAACTAGAAAATTAGGCACAAATCCCGAATTCCTCTCAAACCTGGCCCCCGGGCCCACATCTCAGAATCCGATAAAAATCGCAAAACTAGAAAGCCCTTGCACTCACGAGTCCATACATACAAGATTTATCAAAATCCGACTCCATTTGACCTCTCAAATCCTCAATCAAACTCTCCAAAATCCCAAGCACTAACCCCTCATTGTTAACCTTAATCTTCACTTATTACATGATTAATCAACGAGAAATCATCACATATACAAGAATTAGGGCTCAAGCCACTTATTTTGCTGATAAACCCTTGAATTCCTCCTCAAAATCGCTCTCAAAAGCTCCAAAGTCGACCAAAAATGGTAGAAAATGAACTAAAATTCGCGAAGTCCACCTTTTATACATTCTGCCCAGAACTTCTGCATCTGCGGTCCTTATGTCGCTTCTGCGACGCCGCACCTATGGGAAATACATCGCAGGTGCGGTTCTCACTTATGCCCTCAGAAACTGCTTCTGCGATCAAATTCTCGCACTTGCGGTCTTGCAGGTGCGTTCCACTACTCGCACCTGCGGCTCCTCTCTTAGCCCTCTATTTTCCGCATTTGTGGCTGCCCCATCGCATCTGCGACCTCGCACATACGGTCCCCACTCCGCAGGTGCGGTTACATCAGAAGCAACAACTTCAGCTGCCTTATTCCTTTTCCATATCCTCCGTTAACCATCCGAAATCATCCCGAGCCCTTCGGGAACTCAACCAAACAAGCCAACACATACCATAACATCGTTCAAACTTAGTTGAACCTTCGAATCGCTCAAAACAACATCAAAACACCAAATCACCCTCGGATTCAAGCCTAAGAACTTCTAAACTTCCAAATTCCGCAAACGATGCCGAAACCTACCAAATCACCTCCGAATGACCTGAAATTTTGCACACACGTCACAAATGACACTACCAACCTACTCCAACTTCCGGAATCCCATTCTGACCCGATATCAATTTTTCCACTACCGACCAAAATCACCCAAATTTCCAATTTTGCCAATTCAAGCCATATTCTACCACGGACCTCCAATTACATTCCAGACGCGCTCCCAAGTCCAAAATCACCTAACAGAGCTAACCGAACCATAAAAATCCAAATTCGAGGTCGTTTACTCATAAGTCAACGTCCGGTTGATTTTTCCAACTTAAGCTTCTAAATAGGAGACTAAGTGTCTCATTCTACACTGAAACCACTCCGGACCCGAACCAACTAACACGATACGATGAAATACAACCGAGGAACACATAAGGAAGCAGAAATGGGGGAAACGGGGCTGTAATTCACGAAACGACCGGCCGGGTCATTACATCGGGAGATCTGCAGAAAAAGGAATACTTTCGCCTGTTATTTAAATTTTATCTCCGATTTAGATATTAATTTGTGTGGAACTCCGATTAAATTAATAAAAATAAATTTGGAAAAAAATACACTCTAACCTAAAATAGCCAACTCAAAGGATAATTATTGTGAGTTACAATAATCTGATTGTTATAAATAGAATTTTATTTATGGTGAATGTCTATATTTAGAGAGATTCTAGGGTTCGTTGCTTGGTGGCTAAGTCACCCTCTCCCTATAAATAGAGGGTTCTGTTCTATTGTAATTCATCCCAAATCAATAAGAATTCTCTCTCTCTACTTTTCTCTGCAATATTCTTCTTTTATTGTTCATAACACGTTATCAGCACGAGACTCTAACCAATTGAGTAGAAGCTTTGGGATTGAGCATAATGATTGTCAATTATTCCATGAACTTCCTTCATGATTAAATTCTGGATTTAAGGTAAGTATTTTGCCGTATTTTTCTCTTTTATTCTATACTTTGATTTTATATACAAGCAAAGACAACGAAGTTTGATTATAACTCTAATGGAGTTTGTAAGAAATTATAACCACCTGAAGTGGTAAAATTTCTATGTCTTGCCATGATCAAATTCATGTATGATTATGGCACAAAAAGTGGAAACCCGTCCCATTGAATTTGCTCCATTCTCATTCCTTTAAGAGAATGTGATAGCAGTATGTGATAAGTCTGAAAGAAGACAAAATTATCACTATGAATATATCAATGGATGTGGACGTGGCAATAGACGAAATTATAATCGTCATCATTTGTGGTAATGAGAACAATAAGGATTCTCAAAATAATCTTTCACTCTGTGAAAAATATTTGTCATCGATTTGACATGAGATTTTGTAAAGCACATATAGATGATTATGGTCCATTCATGATGTGAA